CTGACGGTCAGAAAAAACATTAGAATGATAATTTCAATATCATCACAAAGAGCCAGGTCACAGTGCATTCTCTCCACAATGAACAAGATACGACACAATGATTTCCTATTATTAGAAATTGAAATCCAATTTAGGAGACATAAATTCCATCCATAAACAAAAGGCATAACACAACCGTTCAAAGATCACTATTTCAAACACTCATCAAAACATCATACTACGACACGTTTTCCTGAGCAAAAACACAAAACGGAGGTAACTCAACTCAGAACTAAATCCTCCACGACCTCAACCACTTTCCGTCCATTCCAAAAACCTAAATGAACCGGAGCAAACATTCTATCCTTACTTTCCCACACAAATCATCCAGCTCAACCAAGAAAAAAAACTTCATTCACGACAAAGTTTAACATTACATTTCTGAAACACCTCTAAAAATTATACTATGGTGAAACCTTTTCAACATTGCCGAAACCAGAAACGAGAGACCAGACAACAAGTCCGCGAACCACGCTGGCTAATACTAACATTAATCTATACCGTCTGAAAACGCATCTAAATGTCGACGGAGAATTCAACCTAATACGATGACCACAGAATCCCAAAGAGCATTCAAAAACCAACATCTTTCGCCATTTATCTGCAAACTACAAGTGAGCAAACGTGATTGCACTACTCTCACTGTGACAATAATTCAACTAAACAACGTCTAACTGAAAATGTAACTCGATCAAAACGTAGCAAAATATGATCTATACATGATCTCAACGATAACTCCAACAGAAAAACCTCGCCACACTGATCGAATCAAAACACAGCAAAACTGACCGTACAATGTTCACGACCCATTTTCGCCCAAAATGAAACTTTCTCAATCGAGAACTAGCATCAAGATCCACATGAATCCCTACTCTTTTATCTCTTCTGCTAACCGAAATGTGCACTTTCCGTTTTCCTTTAACACCAAACTACCTTCCACTTAGAAATATCTTTAACCACACACAAAAATCCAACACTTATCTTTATACCTAACGAAACATTCGGAGTTTCTCTTATTCTCGAGTAGTACTTCAAGAAAGACCGCTTAACGCTGCATTTTTGCTCACTTTCCATTCGTCGCCTTTACGAAATTTCTTCTACTTAATAACATCTTTTCAAACATATCGAAACCGTCTTTTTCATGTTTCTACTACCGATCTCGGCACTTATATCTTGTTCTAACGCACTCTTTCAAAACCGAGAATTTCCTGCTCACTGCTGCTCACTTTCCAAACCCAGCCTCCATGAAATTTCATTAACGAAAAAATAATGTTCATCTGACATTCAAATCACTTTGTTTATGTTTCTTTTCCGCCTCTATCTACTTAAATATTCACCTGAAGACGTTTTTCGAAAACGAGCATTTTTATACACACTTTTTCTCACTTTCCACAGTCCCATATAGCAAAGTTATGTCCACGAGGAAACATCTTTGAGATCACATCGAAATCATCACACGTAATCTATTTCTGAAAGCTCTTTCTTAATTCGAATACCGCTACGTCACTTTTTATGAAAGTGAGCACCAAATCCTCACTTTTGGCTCACCCTTTATTTTCATAAGTCGAAGTTTTCCTAACTCGGAAACATCGTTTACATCCCAACCAAATCATTACATGTAATTTATTCCGACCCTTAATTTTTCCCTCCACTTAGCCTACATGAGTTTCTACCAAAGAGAGCACCCAGTGCTCATTTTTGTTAACTTGCTATTTTCAGAATTCGAAGTTTCCCTAATTTCGAAATATCTTTGAGATCACATCGAAATCATCACACATGATATTTTTCGGAAAGCTCTTTTTTTCGTTCGACTTTGCCTACGTGAGTTTCTACCAATAAGAGCACCAAATGCTCATTTTTGCTCACTTTTGATTTTGACAAATCGAAGTTTTCCTAATTTCCAAACATCTTTCACATCCCATCGAAATCATCACATCTAATCTTTTTCCCAAAACGTATTTTTTAGCTCCACTCTACCTACATGAGTTTCTACCAAAGTGAACACCAAATGCTCATTTTTGCTCACTTTTGATTTTGACAAGTGGAAGTTTTCCTAATTTCGAAATATACTTCAGATCACATCGCAATCATCACATGTAATCTTTTTCCGAAACTCATTTTTCAGCTCGACTTAGCCTACATGAGTTTCTACGAAAGCGAGCATTCAATGCTCATTTTTGCTCAGTTATTATTTTCACAACTCGCAGTTTTCCAAATTTCGAAATATCTTTGAGATCGTATCAAAATCATATTTTTTACCTTTCTCTTTCTTCTCTATATACTTTTATATGATTCTGAACTATTTTCTCGAAAGTGAGCTTTTTATGGTCATTTTTGGTGAATTTCAAGTTTTGCAGTTGTGGAAATGTGTTCATGTGAGAATTATCTTTGAGATGACATGGTAATCGAATTTTTAATTATGTCGCTAGGGATCGGTGTGCATGCATATGTTTGTGAGGGAGGTTTTCGAGAAGGAGGACATGATGCTCACTTTTGCTGCATGCTGGTTGTCGATGAAAGGAAAGTATTTTCACTTTCGAATATGTTTATGGTCTTATGGAAAAGGTCGATATAGTGTTTTTTTTGTTTGGAAGGATGGTTACGTTTTAATGTTTCGGTAAATTCGTTGTTGGTAATGTTTGCAGTGTATGGTTAGATTTGGTTACTTTTCATGGTTATACTGTTGTAGTTTGAGTGAATCATCGGTTATATGGTCGAGTGTGCGATCCGAGAGACGATGTTGCTGTGCGGTAAGGCTGTGAGGAATGCTTGAATGATTGCGTGGTGCAGATGTTGGTCGAAGGAACGATGATAAGTGTGATGGTAGCTGGATCGATGAGTGCGCGGGTTGTGTATCCGAGCATGTATGACTGAAATACGGCGAATCCCATGCGGAGTTGCTGGTGAAAGCGACGTCTTCTTTTGAGAATCGCATCGGATCCGACGTGTGTTATGTTATGTTCCTTGCACTGGATTCCGGAGCTGATATGATCGGGTAAGATCTGATGCTCGTTCTCAATCGAATCCGAGATGGGTCCGACAGGATCCGGTGTGGGAATGTTAAAATCGTAGATTGTCGGATCTTAGCTGGGTTTCACACCGGAAAACGTCGTATTCGTACGGGATCGCTCCAAAAATCGACGTTTTCCGTCGAAAAATTGATCGGATCCGATCTAGTTTGTGTCGAAATCCTGTCCATGAGAATCCGGGCTGGATTGCGTCGGAAAAAATCCGGTCGTCGGATGTAAACGGGTTTGATGCCCGCCCGACAGGATCCGATCCCCCGTGTTTCTCTTGGGAATATGTTATTCAATAATACTCAAATAATAAATCCTATTACATATATGCAAAGTACTGAAGAATTACGTGAATCACGTGGTAAATGATTTTTAAAATAAATTTATTTTTATAAATGTAAAAATATCATTTCTTTTGATTAGAAAATCCAAATGCAGTCAATACCATAATACCAGCTGATCTATGGTTATCTCATAACAGTCAAAACAACGAATGTTATCTAGGTATCAGATGGAATACAAAGGAAGAACATATTGATTTAGCAATCATGCAGATTAATTTATCAAAATTAAATGATTTAAATCAATATCGATGGCAAAATTAAAATAATCAAATTAATTTATTGAGAAATAAATTTCATAATGAAGCGAGTATTTTAGCAAAATTAGATAATTCTTTATCATATATTAAAGAAGATGTGTTATATATTCCACCATCAGTATCAGAACTAATTAAGTAAGTTAATATCCTGATCTATGGGGAAACAGCGGAGACTTCGCTTATGAAGTCCGATGAAGTCCCGAAATCTTTAGAAGTCTTTAGAAGTGTCTTGACTATTCAGAAGTCCCATGAAGTTCTATGAAGTCTCTTGAAGACTTTTGAAGTCTTTTGAAGCCTCGCAAAATTTCATAAAATCTGAAACTTTTGGAATATGTTTAGTTCGCAAAAAATTCACAAAGAAACTAAGGAAGCTGTCTTGTTTTCGATGGTCTTCTTTTAACAGAAATGTGAACTTTGATTGTTTACTGGAACTGCAGAAAAACATTCTGAGTTTGTTTGAACTCAAAAAACAAAATACTAAATATTTGAATAGTTTTAATAAAGTTGTTTATTCTATAGTGAAATGTTTCGTCAAGCTAATATCAATATTATGCAAAATTTTAATCTCTTTTATTTGTTTGTATCACTCGCGATAGCCTATCAGCCGATAAACGGCTAGCTTCGTCCGTCAATAATCAACAAGTCGTTTCCTTAGTATGAACTTAGATTTGTTATTTACTGTTCATATCTATCCATGACAGGCTTTTTTTATACAAAATTTTGAGCTATTGGTGTTATATATTCATTGTTTTTATTAAACAAGAGAAAATATAATCGTTTGAATCAGTAAAAAGATAATAGAAAATGTTGTAAAAAACTATGTACGCTCTTAAGTGTTTAAAATGTCTCTGATGTGTAGAATCATCTTTTCAACATTATTTGCATCATTTTAAAAGATTGCAGTTATAGATGTACTGCGAGAAAGAATTCTAAGAAACAAGAAATTCTTTTATAATCTCTATATGATAGATGTTGTTTTTTGCATGTTACAGAAATTTCATGTAATTTCTAAGGTTTCTTAATATTCATGGAATCTCTAAGTCTTTTGAAATCTTTTGAAGTTTTGTGAAAATTTGAAGTCTCTGCGGCTGAAGTCCGTTGAAGTCTTTTGAAGTCTTGAAGTCCGCTGTTTCCCCCTTGATTCTGATTTATACGGTTGACTATTAAATAAAATCCTATTCAATAAATGGTTATTATTTAATACATTCGAGAATAATATATTTCATAAAATATCTCTCAAAAGAATATTTATCTAAAATTGTCAACATAACTATTAGAAACAGTTAATTAAATTATTTAGGAATAATTAGTAAATATTAATACAATTTCGTTTATACATTTAGTTATTATTGGGAACGTGTTCCATATAACGATGGTATCAGTGATCACGACGATGCTGATGAAGATACTGTGGATGGTGAGAATTTTAATGAAAATGATAATGATGCAAATGACTAATTCAACATAATTTGAAAGTAATTTTTTTTCTTTATAAACCATTTGAAATGTTCAAACAAAAGTATTGATGTTTTTATTATTATTAAATTTTAGGCCTTTTTACATATTAATCAATTGATACAACATTTTACTCTTTTATTTAACACT